CTGGCTCCGCCCACGCGGCGGTTTGTCGGTCATGAGGACGTAAACGCTCATTGTTCGGTGTTTGCATGTTTGTGTGCGATTGTGTGACCGTGTGACTGTGACAACAACAACAGGAACAGCAGCCACGCCCTGGTCACGGCCCTGGGGCAGGTTTTTTTTTTTGTCCCCCAAAAATCAAAACAGGCCAAAGGACAAAAGGAAACAGGAGCCGCGGGAACGAGGAGCCAACAAAAGGAGAGGAGCGCATGAATGCTTAACCTAAAAACTGTCCCGCTTTCTATTGAGGGCGGAGCTCTGTGACGCCCCCAGAGGCCGACCTCATAAACGCGCCTGGACCTGCTCAATAGCTCCCCCCACCAGTGGAGCCGCGGTGGAGGGGCGGAGTCTCAGCAGCAGGGTTTCCAGGAAAAGGTTCCAAAACCTGACCTGGTTTGGCTCTGCTGCTAAAGCTAACAGGCTAACAGGCTAACAGGCTAACAGGCTAACACGTTATTGATGTAAAAAGGAAAATATTTGATGTTAACCCAAGATCAAACGTTTACTTTGATCAAATGTGTCGCAACCAAACCACATGATGCTACCAAAGGTTAGCGGCTAACTGCTACCTACCTGTGTATCAGTGTGTGTATCAGTGTGTGTGTGTATCAGTGTGTGTGTGTATCAGTGTAGTGTGTGTGTATCAGTGTGTGTGTGTATCAGTGTGTGTGTCAGTGTAAACATCATGTGTCCAATCAGCTGCAGACGCTGGTTTGACCCTGTGACCCCTGGTCTGCATAGAGACTGTGTGTGTGTGTGTGTGTGTGTGTGTGTGTGTGTGTTTACTCCGGTCAGGACTGGACTCTCGTCAGTAAACACACACACACACTCACTCATTTGTCAGTCATTAACTCCAGCTTCATCCTCAAACTTCAGCTTCTCGTCTTCAAACGTCGGTGAGAAAACGTTCTTTCTTCTTTTATTTGATTTGATTTGGTCACATGACCGGACGCTGGCTCGACCCTGTGACCCCTGACCTGCAGCCCACAGGGGGTTGAAGTCAAATCAGGTCGTCGGCCTGGTGAAGTGTGTGTGTGTGTGTGTGTGTGTGTGCTGAGTCAACCTGTAGGTGTTTCCATGACAACCAGCGACTGATTTTATTTCCACAAAACATTTTTGTTGTGATTCTGCTTCAGTTGTTTTTGTTTCACTAACTTTGAAGGTAAGATCTGATTGGCTGCAGCTGGGCGTGACATCATGAACGTGCGATGGCTCTGTACGTCCTCTGCCGTCATGCTGTGGTGTGCGGCAGTACTCAGTGTGTCCAGTAGGTGATTCAGTTGTTTGTATATGTGTTTGTATTGACTGAAACATACGTGACCTGGTTCTCCTGGTTCTCCTGGTTCTCCTGGTTCTCCTGGTTCTCCTGGTTCTCCTGGTTCTCCTGGTTCTCCTGGTTCTCCTGGTTCTCCTGGTTCTCCTGGTGCTCCTGGTTCTCTTTGTACTCCTGGTTCTCCTTGTTCTCCTGGGTCTCCTGGTTCTCCTTGTTCTCCTGGTTCTCCTGGTTCTCTTTGTACTCCTGGTTCTCCTTGTTCTCCTGGGTCTCCTGGTTCTCCTTGTTCTCCTGGGTCTCCTGGTTCTCCTTGTTCTCCTGGTTCTCCTTGTTCTCCTGGGTCTCCTGGTTCTCCTTGTTCTCCTGGTTCTCCTGGTGCTCCTGGTTCTCCTTGTTCTCCTGGGTCTCCTGGTTCTCCTTGTTCTCCTGGTTCTCCTGGTTCTCTTTGTACTCCTGGTTCTCCTTGTTCTCCTGGTTCTCCTGGTTCTCCTGTTTCTCCTTGTTCTCCTGGTTCTCCTTGTTCTCCTTGTTCTCCTGGTTCTCCTTGTTCTCCTTGTTCTCCTGGTTCTCCTGGTTCTCTTTGTACTCCTGGTTCTCCTTGTTCTCCTGGTTCTCCTGGTTCTCTTTGTACTCCTGGTTCTCCTGGTTCTCCTGGTTCTCCTGTTTCTCCTTGTTCTCCTGGTTCTCCTGGTTCTCCTGGTGCTCCTGGTTCTCCTGCTGCAGTCTTCTCCGACCCTCCTGACGCCCACATGCTGCTGCGCTCCCGTCGGGCTAACAGCTTCCTGGAGGAGCTGAAACCTGGCTCCATGGAACGTGAGTGTGTGGAGGAAAATTGTAACTTTGAAGAAGCCCGAGAAATCTTTCAAACTGCAGAAGCCACAGTAAGAACACACACACACACACACACACACACACAAAATAGATGCTAACAGTTAGCTTAGCATTGCCTGTTTTTTCTTGTTATTATTTTAAAGAACAAAACTGTCAGAGTGAGGTTCACGTTTCTTACAGGACACAGTTACAAATGAACATAGCTTTGAACTAGGAAAACAGCTAATGGCTAACGGCTAACAGAGCTCTGAGCTAGCTCTGGCTAACATTCATCTACTGCTCGGTTTTGGTAATATATTGTTAACTTAGTTAGTTATATGTTCACGTTGTTGTTGTTCACGTTGTTGTTGTTGTCGTTCACGTTGTTGTTGTTAACGTTGTTGTTGTTCACGTTGTTGCTGTTGTCGTTCACGTTGTTGTTGTTCACGTTGTTGTTGTTCATGTTGTTGTTAACGTTGACGTGTCTCGTCACTGTGTTCTTCCACAGCTGGAGTTCTGGATGGTTTACACCGGTGAGATCCAAAGATCCGATTTCTTCCGGAACATGAACAATATTGTTAACAATAAAGTGATTCACGTGCCGTTCACGCTGAATTCTGTTTGGCTCCAGATGGATCGCAGTGTAAATCTCACACTTGTGTCCACGGCACCTGTGTGGATCTGTTCCAGTCCTTCGCCTGTCGCTGTCACCCTGGATACGAGGGACGATTGTGCGACCAGAGTGAGTGTGGAATTCACACAACATTAACGCGTGAAAAAGATGAGCTGAAAACAGTAGAACCACAGGGTTCTGTCGTCGCAGCTGCTGCTCTTCTTCTTCTTCTTCTTGTTCTTCTTCTTCTTGTTCTTCTTCTTTGTCTTTTTCTTCTTCTTCTTTTTTTTTTTCTTCTTCTTTTTTTTCTTCTTCTTCTTCTGCTTCTTCTTCGTCTTCTTCTGCTTCTTCTTCCTCTTCTTCTTCTTCTTCTTGTTCTTCTTCTTCTTGTTCTTCTTCTTCTTGTTCTTCTTCTTCTTGTTCTTCTTCTTCTTGTTCTTCTTCTTTGTCTTTTTCTTCTTCTTCTTTTTTTTCTTCTTCTTCTTCTTCTTGTTCTTCTTCTTCTTGTTCTTCTTCTTTGTCTTCTTCTTCTTCTGCTTCTTCTTCCTCTTCTTCTTCTTCTTCTTCGTCTTCGTCTTCTTCTTCTTCTTCTTCCTCTTCTTCTTCTTCTTCTTCCTCTTCTTCTTCTTCTTCTTCGTCGTCTTCTTCTTCTTCTTCTTATTCTTCTTCTTCTTCTTCTGCTTCTTCTTCGTCTTCTTCTTCCTCAGTTGAGGAACGAGACGTCGTCCAGCTGTGGACGTCGTAGACCGTGTGGACACCTTCAGACTGACTGGGTTCCAACTCTCGTCCTCAGTTGTTTCAGCCACAAACTGCTCGGTGGACAACGGCGGCTGTGACCACGACTGTGTGGTGATCGAACACCGTCAAAGACGACAGTGCAGCTGCTCCACTGGGTACAAGCTGCACCAGCACGGCAGGAAGTGTATACCAGAAGGTGAAACAACCACAACAACAACAACCACAACAACAACCACAACAACCACAACAACAACCACAACAACAACAACAACAACAACCACAACAACAACAACAACAACAAAAACAACCACAACAACAACAACACATTGTTATTATTTAAATATATTTATATTCTGTGACCCTGACGTTAGAACAAGATCAACTCTACTGTGAATATAACTGTGGGAGGGGGGGTGATACAGTCTAGGGAGCGGTGATAACAGTGTGGGGGTAAAGGGTAAATATATAATAACTACCTCGCCTCTACTTTGTGGATTTTCCCTTTTTCGTGGTGAGTCTTGGACCAGAACTACCGCGATAGTAGAGCGACCACTGTTGTTCAAAAGGCATCTTTACTGTTACAGTGTAACACACACACACACAGCACCCCAGGAACCTCCTCCTGTGGCCAGCTGCTGATTGGCAGGACATCGTACACCAAACCCAAGGATGGTCTGCTGCCCTGGATGGTGGGAGGAGAGGTGGGGAAGAAGGGAGAGAGTCCGTGGCAGGTGAGAAGGTTCTAGAAGACTGCAGTACCAGTTGACACCAGTAGGGTCCACACTCTGTTGGCCTGGGAGGTACTTTTTAATCAATCAATCAATCAATCAATCAATCAACCTGTCGCTGTCTGGGACAATTGTTGCTAATCCAGTTCTAGAGATTTCTATTTCGCTGGTCATCGACCTGCACTACCTTTGCGATCTACGGGTAGATCCCGATCTCCTTACTGGTCTACGACGCTGGTGTCCAAACGGACCAGTGTAACTTCACCGCCCCCCCCCCCCCCACACACACACACACACCCGTGTCTGCAGTGAATTGATTAATTTTAGCTCAGGGAGCAGCTGGCCCACCGCTGCCTCCTGTGGTCATATATATATATTCCCTGCAATCTGAACAAAATGTTTCCAACAGTGAAGTCACAAAACGTGTCAGTGATGGAGGAGCCTCAATAAATATACCTACATGTATATATATATATATATATTCCCTGTAGGTTCTGATTCTGAACCCCAGTGGAGAGTTCCACTGCGGCGGCGTCCTCATCGACGAGAGCTGGGTTCTGACCGCTGCCCACTGCCTCGAGAAATACATGAGGTTCAGAGTACGACTTGGTGAGATATTTTTACCTGAGTAGCCTCGGCAGCAGCGCTACAGTAGCGCCACAGAAGATTAGCGCTTGGCTAACGTCAACATCTACGCTAGCCTTAGTTTCTGGTTTAACATCCTTGGCTAACACCACCTGTGGTGGCTCACCAGGAGACTACGAGCGTTACAGGGACGAAGGCACCGAGAAAACCCTGAAGGTCCAGCAGACCTTCAATCACCCGGACTACGACTCCATGACCCTGGACAACGACATCGCCCTGATGCGTCTGGAGAACCCCGCTCCGTTCTCCGACTACATCCTTCCCATCTGTCTGCCGAGCAAGGACTTGGCCGAGCGGGTCCTGCACCTCAATGGTACCATGACCGTGGTGACGGGCTGGGGAACCGATGAACAGGACAGCACCCACTACGCCTCGGTGCTCAATGTCATCAAGGTGCCCCTAGTGGAGCACAGTGTCTGCTCAGCCCACATGTCAAACAACATTAGCCAAAACGTCCTCTGTGCTGGTTTCCTGGGACAGAGGATGGACGCCTGCAACGGGGACAGCGGGGGGCCCATGGTCACCCTGTACCGCAACACCTGGTTCCTGGTGGGCTTGGTGTCTTGGGGCGAGTCCTGCGGCCGTGTGGACAAACTGGGCATCTACACCAAGGTGTCCAACTACAACGAGTGGATCAACCGCGTGCGTGAAGAGTGGGACAAAAGTCATGGTCCTCAACCGAGGGTTCCCGGTCCCTGATCCGCCTGGATCTGGTTCTCTGAGATGAAGTTCTCAGAACCCCCTGAGATGTTTCACACTCGAGTCAATAAAGGTCGTCTCACCCACAACGTTCGCTCACTGTCTTTATTCACGATCACAACAAACATTTCCACCTTCCTTAAAAATGTAGTCGACTGTGGCGACACGCCCAGAGTCCATTAGCACATAGTTATCTACATGTTAGCACAGCTCGCTAACAGCTAACAGCTGCTACAGCAGTACGCCGCAATCCTAACTGCTAACTGCTAACTGTGTTGTGGCTGTTGTAGCTTCTTAATCCAACTGTTTCACTATGTTCATCTGCTGCTCATGAAGCTAACAGTTCATCACATGCTAACAGTTCTCCAGCTAACACTGGTTCCTTGTTGCTGCAACAGCAGTTGCTTACAGTAATTAGTTGCTAACAGCAGCTAAATGCTAGTCTAAGTGCGAGTGTTGTTGGGGACTTCAGCTGCAGGACGTTGGAGACCAGAGATCTCCTCAGCCCGGGCTCGTCGTCTCTCCAGTTCCTCCTCGTACGTCTGCAGCTGAGACAGGAACCCGGGGTTGGGGTCGATCACATGACGAGCTGACTTCACTTCCTGGAAACAATGGACGACAATGAAGGAAAACAGACACGTGGGTTAACTGGGTCAAGATGCTCCACTGGACACCAGTTAGCCCCTCCCCCCTGCCCCCCCACTGGTTGTGTGCAGTGTCACAATGACAAATAATTCCCTTACAAACAAGGGTTGACGGTTCAAACCCCTAACCCCTCACCTGTAGCGCCTCCTTCAGCTTCAGTTTGTGCTGCTTCATCAGGAAGGCTATGCAGATGGAAGCTGAGCGGCTGCGTCCGTTCTTGCAGTAGACGAGGCTCCGCCCACCGTGACGAACTTCAGCCTGGATGGCGTCGGCGCAGGTGTCGAAGTGGGCGTACAGGTCTTCACTGGGGTCGTCATAGACCGCAATCCGCAGCTTGGTGACGTGAGCGTCGGCGGGGAAAGGCTGCTGTCTTGAAACATTAATGCACAACGTCACTGCCTCCTGCTGGAGGAGCTGGGCACTGCAAGCAGAGCGGGCATTACTGATACACAGGGCTTCAGTGACTTTGTACAGCTGCAGCATCGTGGTTGAGATCTGGCTTGTGATTGGTTGGATCTGTCATGAAAGATGATGAGAAATCAATGCCACCATCTCACACCAAACCTCATGGAGAAAATCAGAGATTTTAGTTCAGACCAAAGTCCATAAACACGTGACCTGCTGGTCCACTGCTGCCCCCCTTTGGTTCTGATAGAAACATCTGTCTTATGACAAGATAAAACATTGAACACTGTAACTGTAGACCTGCCTACAATGTTTTGTTGAGTTGTTAAAGGAAATGTTGTTCGTATGCTTGTCACCAGAGTGTTTGATCTTCTGACACACACACACAGAAACACAAACAAACATACAAATTCACACACACACACATACACACACTGACCCACAATCAGATGATCTTCTCTGGTTGTTTAGGAGGAATCACTGCCAATAATCTGCCCAGGTCTCCACATGACAACTGCAGTGAAACACACACACACACACACACACACGCTGCTGCTGCTGCTATATTTACTGCTCTGCCCTGGGTCCTAAAGCTGCTCTGTTTCACTACAGACCTGAGACTGGATCAAATGTCAATGATAAATGTATTTGAATCATAATCAGTTATTTTTAAGCTTGTTTAAAATGTTTTATGCAATTATTAAAAGATAAAACTAAATAATACATATCCATATACATATCAAACGTATGAGTGTGTTTTTATATTTAATTAAATATTAAAATATATGATTACTGATTCCTAACTTAAATCAGATCAGTGTAACTCCATTAGAATTTTCCTTTTATTTCAGATTTTTTGCGTTAAAACAAAACGTTTATCATCAGTCTCCACCGTACTGTATCACCAGGATCAATAACATCTACTGGCCAGTAGGTGGCGGGGCTGCATCTTAAGGTAGCAGCCTGTACGGCTGTGCCTGGAGAAGAAGAAAAATAGCAGCGTTTCCGTCGCACCAATGATGACGTAACACCACAGTGGACACTGTTTAGGTTTGGCTTTAAACGTTGAAATTGACCAAAATAAACTCTATTCAGAGAATAAATAAACCAAATCTGTGTTTAATGACTGCGTTTCTGAGCGAAACAAGATGGCCGTGTGTGTGTGTCACACCTCAGGTCGAGAACCCGGTGTTAGCACTCGTGTTAGCTTTTATTTAGCCGGTTTGAAGCGGCGTTGGTTGCTAGTTGACGGCTTCTGGATTAGACTGGTTAACTACCGGGTTAGCCATGAACTTGTAGCTGTGTTGTTTGAATAGCTTCTCTGCTAGCCGCTAACCCATAAGTCCCGGTTTAGTTGTTGCTTTCACCCCTTGTTGGCAACTGTTTTTGATGTTCGGTTAGCTTGTGATTTTAGCCATTGCTAATGTTAGCGCGCGATGGCTTTACCTGCAGTTTGGCGTTGCTAAGGGGTAAATGGGTGTTTTAGCTGCTGAGGTAATTGCTGAATTAGCTGGCGTTATTGGCATTTGTTGCATTTTGGATCAGCAGTTGTTTGAGCAGCTTAGTTCAGCAAATTATTTAACTTAATTTTGTTATGTTTGTTGTTCTCTTAGCATTTAGCTGCTGTGTTAGCCAGTGAAGAATGACGTCAGAGGAGAGTCTGAAGGAGTTTGTGAAGCAGCGACTAACTGCTGCTGCTCAACAGATATTCTCCATCTTCCAACAAAACCTCGACCAGTGCCAAGACGAGATGCAGCGTCAGCGCCAACTGCTGGACGTCATTTTAAAACCGGAGCGCAGGCCAAACGGAGCAGGTGAGTCCCGACCGTAATACTGTCTCAGGTTTATTTGGTCATTTCTCCTGGTCCTCCCTTGCCTCCAGCGGCCTCCTTTACTTTACTTTCACTTCACATAAAGTAATATCATTAAACAAGTTTAATTCATCTGAGTTTTTTTTTTGTTTATTCAGAACTGCCACACAAATCTGGTTTTGTGGAGGAGTGGAAGTCATGTTTGGAGCAGCGTACCCTCTGCATCCGCCAGGAGGGGGGGCTGCTCGCAGGGAGCCACTGTAACGTTGGAGAGGAGTTTGTGAAGCAGAGAATCTGTGCTGCCGCTGACGACCTGTGGTCTCTGCTGGAGTCGGTCTTCACTGGGCAGCAGGCGGACAGAGACGGTCGGGACCCAGGTGGGCTGAGGCCCATGACAGGTTAGTAAAACCCAGGTGTCAGAACTGATCCCAGCGCAGCAACAATGGTTTGATTCAAGAACCTCCCCACATTCACTGTGTCTCTGTCCGTCCAGAGCCTCCTCTGCTCCCTGTCTGCAAGGAGGAGGAGGAGGAGAGGAGCTGCAGTCTGACTCCACACACGAAGGAGGAGCAGCTGGACTTTTGTAGCACTCAGGATGTGGAGCAGCTGGTTCTGAAGCAGCAGCAGGAGGAGGAGGAGGAGGAGGAGGGAACTCCTTCTGACGGGGACAGAGGACAGCTG